AGGGTCATGGTGAGAAGAGTCTGGAGCTTGATAATGAGGGTTCTTCCGTGTAGAAGTTTGCCTGTCTTCCCATCTTCACAGGGGAGTTGTTCTGGGGTCCAAGTAGGGAGCAAAGAAATGGAGAGAGACTTTTGGGGAGACACAACAGTGGCCCTCCTGGCCAGGGCAAGTGGGTGCTCCTCAGAGGTGGAAGGTGAAGGTGGGGCCCTGCGTCCCTGCTCTGACCCCAGCCCCTGTGCCCAGCCTCCGTGAACCCCTCCCTGGTGAAGGTGCACATTCACCACCCGCCCGAGGCCTCCGTGCAGATCCACCAGGTGGCACGGGTGCGGGGTGAGGCGGAGGAGGCCCTGGAGGAGAACAGCGTGGAGACCAGACCCCCGCCTCGGCTCCCTGCCAGCCTGGGCCACAGCTTCTGGAACAGCAACAGCATCCCTACTTGGTCTGGAGAGCCCCCTCGGCCACTGCCCCCCACAGCACCCAGGACTCGGAGGCTACTGGGCCGCTGTTACCTGGGTGCTGTGAATGGACAGGTAAGAAAATAGCTCCTGCCTCAGCCCTGGAGGCTTCTACAACAGCCATTGTCCCCACCTATGCCCTTCTCCTCCTCTCTTTCCTCCTTGTTCCTATGGAATATGAGTGTCTGCGGTCTCCCGTCCCCAGGTGGGAAAACCCAGGGCATAACGTTGCCTGATTATGAAGAGACTGGGCCTCCTACTAGGCATGTGAAGAGAACCCAGGGGAGATCCCCTCTGGGGGAGCTATCAGCAGCATCCTCGCTGAAGACAGCCTAGAGTTTGGTCCCAGTAAATCCTGGACTCTTGGAGAGCTATGCCTAGACTCTCCCAGCGCATAGACATTAGGGCCATTAGGATCTGGCAAGAAGGAGCCTGGTATCCAGTTGAGACTGAGGTCAAGAGAAATGGATTTAACAGATGGAAGTTATACCCCAAAGCCCTAGTGGTACAAAGATGAGAGGCTCTCCAAGCCCCCAAAGGCATCTGCAGTCCACATGGGAAGCCGAGTGAGCTGCTGTGAGGCCAGGCACCCAAGAATGGGGGTTAGACCAGACCTAGCATGATTTTTCTTGGGGGTTGTAGTTTGGTGTTTTCAGGGAAACTGGAAGAGGTGTGGTAGCTAAGGAATAAGGACCCTCAAGTTCCCAGATTCTCCCTGGGCTCTCAGCCTGTGGTGTCCCTGAGCTGAGGCTCTGCACACATAGAGGGCCCACACTGGAGGTGACCTTGGAGTCCCACAGAAGAAGCCTGTCCTCGGGGACCCTCTGCCTGTAGGCTGGGTCTGTGGAGGCTGGTGGATTGCAGACTAGCACAGTGCGGCTCTTTGAGTCTGGGGTGGTTCCCCTGCAAACACAAGGTCGAGTCAGGTAGAGTGGGCTGTAGATTTCTCTGCTCCTTCTGGGACATTGGCTGACTCCCTTCCCTCCCTTGGGTGGGGCATCCTCTGGAAGAATGTGGGGAATGAGCTCAGTGTCCCAGGCTTTCCTGGGTCATCTGTGTACAGTAGGGAAGAAGAGGGAGGGTCACAGGCAGTCATGGCCTCTTTTCCAGTGTGCCAACCCTCTGCTGGAGCTGACTGCCCAAGAGGACTGCTGTGGCAGTGTGGGAGCCTTCTGGGGGGT